ATATATATATGCCTGATTTTCACATATTGGCAAAAATAAACAATGATTCATATAAGCTCATACTCTGCAGTTTGTGAAATGTAACTTAGTTATGAGTCATACTAATTTAATATCATGACACTGTTTTTTTTGCCACACAATGAACCGATCCAAGTGAAAGAAAAACACCATGTATCTACATATTCAGTATGATACTTGGCTATAAACACCATGGGAGTACCCAGTCCTCTTGTGTATCAGCTTTTTTTGCTTTTTTTCACTATCAAAGATGTGACCACTGAGTTCCTGCTTTTTTTTCTTGTATTGTGCCTACACTGAAAAACTATAAACCCTACGGGAATGATTTTATTCTCGCATAAATCTTCTTATTCATTGCCAGACTGTGTTTACCTTATGAGGCAGCAGGATTCTTGTGAGATTCACAATGCTAGGATTATAGGGAAATCTGTCTTGCTAGCCTTAAGCTAAATAGTTGTGGCCAAGGAGCAGTGGTGAGAGTAATCATCATCTTACACTGCCAGCTCTGGGCGAGTTTTCAGGTTTTTAGTTATAGCCTAAAAAGATAATGCCATAACATCACATATACCAGCATTGAGGAACGATATTTAAAGTAAATTATGCTGGAAGCCTTTGTCAAATAAACTTATATTAATATTTTCTTCAGAAAGTTTTATTTATTAATTGTTTTTACTTTTTTAGGTTATTTTAACACAAACATATAGTTTATTCATTTAAATATGACGTAATAAAAGAATAGCTGCTCTTTGTTTGACACMTTTAACCCTGACTTCCCGCACAAGTGTTGCCACAAATCACCTGAAGCTTTAAGCTAAACACGCAAAACAGAAAATAAATGCTTTGATGGTTGCTTTACTTCTTTGAATTAGCTCATTTTGARTGTACAACAGGGATTTTCAACTGGCGGCCTGCGGGCCACATCCGGCCCACCAATGAACCCCACCCCACACCCACCCATGATGTTGAGGGGTTGTATTAACTACAGGAGAAAATTTTGACCCTTTTTTTTGTTTAAATGTACTACCATAATAAGTTTCAATATTTTCTTGTATATTAGTAAAATATTTTGTTGGAGGGGGATAAATCCTCATAACTCCCCCCTCCTTCTCATTGTACATTGTGCAGAGCGAATTGTATAACAAAGACCGTAGTTGTATTTTCACACTGGTGTCAGAGGAGGAAAGCTTTTCTTTTTTTCTTGTTAACTGCAGAGATGAAAAGAAGCTTACTCATAAATCCACCTTGCTGTTTTAACAGTCGGCTTCTGGTTTGGAAGTGCAGCAGATCATTTTCAGCAAAATGCGGAAGCTCATGTGTACGGCAGGCTGTTTTTACATTTAATCGGCTTCGCCACTTTTACATTCCAGATATTTGAAAATGGTTTATCACTGGACATATTAGTTGTTTAAGTGAGAGGATTGAAAGATTAAACTAATGTAAATTAAAAAGCAGACTTTTTCATGTTCTGTAACTTCAACTAAAAAAAAGCTGTCCTCTTTTTTTTAAATAAATACTAGTGTGTTTCTGCTCAAAGGCCGATACTCGGGGTGTCAAACTCCAGTCCTCGAGGGCCGCTATCCTGCATGTTTTAGAGGTTRTCCAGCTCCAACACACCTGATTCAGTGATTGAATTAACTCTTCAAATTGGGAAGAAGCCTGTTAATCACCCAGCAATCAAAGTCAGGTGTGTTGGAGCAGGAAAACCTCTAAAACAGAGGTGCCCAAAGTGGGGCCTGCGGGCCAACATTGGCCCGCCAAGTCATTTGATTTGGCCCACCAGCAGTTGTCCTGGTTATTAGATTATAATCTCCTGTCTTATGTAGAAACACTATATTTCCACTTTTCAACCTTTGGTCAGATAGTCTTAACTCATGGTACTTAATTTGTCTTTGAATCATGTTAAGATTAAATATGAAACACAAGTAACTACAAGAGACATTTAGATTAGATTTAAGCCCAAATCTAGATTTGCACACCTTATAAGACCACATCTACTCAATTATGAAAAGTCCCATGAGCTTTTGCTGCCTGAGCATACGTTGAATTTTCTCCATGTCCATGGGCTGAAAGAAAAAAATGTGGGCAACTGAACTGGCTACTAGATTAATCATAAAAAATAAAACAACTTTACTTAAGAAGTATTTGCATTTCTTATTCGTATTGTTCATTTTTTTGTCTGATTTCAATATTGAATCTATTAATAGTCAGTTACAAGCAGATCTTCAGACATTTCATGGTTGGCTTCAAGATKATCTTTTGTCAATTAATGTTAAAAAACTGTGCGCATGTATTTTTCCTCACCCAGGAGACATTTCAATATAACAAATCAACTCACTTTTTTAAACAAACCCCTTGATATTGTCACTACCTACAAATATCTTGGAATTACTTTGGATTCTCATTTGACTTATCGTGATCATGTACAAGTCTTAACCACCAAGTTGAAACAGAAATTATGCGTTTATTGAAAAATTAGATCCAATCTGACATCTTCTGTTTCAAATATCTATCTTCATGCCATTATACTCTCAACCATGTCGTACTGTTTACCTGTTTGGTCTCTTACAACAAATGAAATCTTAGAACCCATAGTTAGGCTCTACAACAGGGCCTACAAAATTCATAAAAACTTCCTGGTTGGACTCATCACTGTACAGTTCTTTCATTGTCTGATGCCTTGACTTTTCAGAATTATGTTTTGTATAGTGGTATTAATTTATATTTTCAGATTTTCCAAGGTGCCAATTATGGAACTCTCTGTGCATTGTTGCCCAAATCAAATTCTGGAAGTGGTCATTCAATTAGATCTGTTACAAAAGGACAACTGATATTYCCAACTTTTAAAACCTGTTACGGCCAGAGGTCTTTCTTCTATGTTTATACTAAAGCATGGAATGACATTCCTCAAAACATAAAGTCCATTTCAAAACTACAGCCCTTTAAGAAGAATKTTGTCTGCCATCTGCTGGACACTTTTTGTTGTGCTCATATTTAGARGTCCTATTTTGCAAATGCTGCCTTTTTGAAGTTTGTTATGCTTGTTTGTCTTTGTGTCTGTGGTGTATAATGATGTGATTGTGATGCTGTAATTCAGTGTGTGTTTACGTGCTGCAGAACAGGAACCTGCTGTAAAACAGCAATTTTGCTGAGTCAGGTTTGATTTTTAATAATCTTTTCCTGTTAAATAAATCAAATCAAATCAAATCAATTATGTTATTGCATTTGGCCCACGGCCCTCAGATTGATTTTAATTCTGGCCCTCTCAGGGAAAATGTTTGGGCACCCCTGCTCTAAAACATGCAGGATAGCGTCCCTCATGGACTGTAGTTTGACACCCCTGGACTGGATCTATACATTCTAGCTTTTTGCTTTATATTTTATTTTTTTTATTTAGTGATGACTCTACAAACTCAGCAAAAGTAAAGTGTTTTTCTAAATTCTTTAAGTTATCTCATTAATTGCAGAGCCAACTTCCTGTCTGACAGGTTGAGTTTCTGTAGGAGTGAGGGATGTCTGCATGACATGCTGCCACTGAGCACTCACATCTACATCTGTCCCGTTCTTTTGCATTAGTGTCACACGTTTGCCTCGGCTCTCACCTACTCCCAGATATCCGCTGGGCCACCCCCCCACCCCTCATTTGCTCCCTCACCTCTGCACTCTCTCCTCCCCCTCGCCCCCTTTTTGACTCCCCTTACCTCTCAGCTCCCCTCGCCTCTCCTGCCAGCGTGCGTGAGCTCGTTCTCCATGCCGGCTGRGCAGCACACCTGCACTGCGGCTGTCAATCAGCGGACAGGAGGGACAGGAAGGGAGACCGCGCTCAGTTTAGCATGTTTGATGTTGTGTGGGCACGAAGTGTTACCTAAAGGATCCAGCCGAGTGAGAAGTTGTATTCTTGTCACACCTTGTCTCTCCTTCTGTCTTTGGCACATTACCTCCACTATATTTAAGCGGTAAATGGTATGGATTACACCTTTCTGGGAAAGTTCCGCTTTTTTCATCTTGTCAAGGAAGTTTGAGATCTTTTTATTCTGTCCCTGTCTTGGATCTGTCCTTCTTATTCCTTCTATATTTATATGCATGTGTCTCRTCCRCTACCTCTCTCGATTCATCTGCCCRCTGTGAAATAAAAATGAATTTTCAGCAGTAAGTATGACAGCAGAAGAATTTCTGACTCCGCGCTGTTCTCCGTTCAATTACCTCCTAATAATGCCTTAGTGTGAAAATGTCCCCCCTATGTGTGTCTGAGACCCCTCTGCATCCACTCTTATCTGGCTCTCTTCGCCACTTTTCTTTTTTTCCTTTTTTTTTAATTGCCTCAGAATTGCTGTGGAAAGCACGGGTAACTGAGAAAGGACTTTTGAAAGCAGCACAATGCTTTAAAAAGACAGCTTGTCCTTGGTCAGACAGATTACTTGTAGTTCTAATGAAACCTGATCAATCCAGACAAGACAAGGACCCTGAGTCATCACTCATTCAGGGCTCCTGGTGCCAGCCTCACTTTGTGTATTTATGTGTAAAAACATTCATCAAACACATTARATGTTTTTAGATGTTTATGTTTATGATCCGTACATCTTAATTTTATTTCTAGGCAGATTAATTGTACAGTTGCCATTAAAGTGTGCTGTAAAAACAACTTTCATTACATTTACATTCAGCTTGCTTTCCAAGGTCTGTAGAGTGAAGTATGAAGGAGTGATTGCATTAGTTGCAAAATAGTAGCTTTATTTGTGTTAAAAGGCACAACTTTTTGGTCTGTGTAAAAATATACAACAAATATTCATTGGAAAAATAAAGAATGAAACAACTTAGTCAAGTTCTTGCATTCTCAAATTTCATACARATATCTTAGTCACATCTCGAAGTAAATGTAAACACATTTGCATTATTTCCTCTAAGTTATTATGCAAATGCAGAGGCATAATGCATATTMTGTTATACAAATGCATGATTTTGGCATGTTAAAAGGCCAAAAGCAAACTGCGTCAAGCTGATCTAAGGATGTAAGCAGGGTATTTTTTCAGTTTTATTTATGTGTGTTTATAATGGAAAACATTGATACCTATAGGGATTATCCAGTYGACAGGGTATATGTCTATTTTAATAAAGGTTTTGTTCTTATTAATTAAAGTTTTTGCACATTCAATACCTAATTAGTTAATATGAATGAGGTTAGATAAGGTGTTATAAGGATAGTGTGTAATTGTTCTCCCAAATATGTTGTGCTTTGAATATCAAATGCTCAAAAGCTTGAAACACACCTCAAACAGAGACACTAAATCACCATTTTTACTTTCATATAGGTTCAACAAATTGTCTTACAAACACTTATATGTTATTCCTTATACGTAGCTACATACTTGATATAGATTTTTTTTCTCTTAAAAATAATAAGTACAAAAATATAGTTCCGTGTTCTACCCAGACACTTTGACACATACCATGGCTGAAAATCAAACTTCCAGTCTTTGATTAGGAGACAACCTACCTCCTTATTGGTGTTCCTCTTCAAAGGTTGGCAAGTGCAGTTGGCTTTAATTTATTACTTGTACAATGGATTCCAATTGTTACCTAGTTCCAAGGAAAAATGTCCATTCTTTCACTTTTCATACATGCATCCTCTTCCATTTCACGGCCTTGCGTTTCTTTCAAACCAAGTGTAAGACTTAGATTGACACTTTAAGAAAACCTTTGTGCTAAAGAAGTTTGAGCCATCCAGATAATGCATACGTATTTGTAAATGTATGCAAATGTGCTTTGATGGGGTTTGTTTTAAAGACCTAATTTGTTGCTGGCTCTCTTGTTCAGTCATTCTTTAGTCCTTTTTTTTTGTTCTATCTTTCACACACGTGAGATCTGGTCTCCAACTGTGCCAGAGCTTGATTTGGCTCCAAAAGGCTCTAACTGATCAGAGCCTCGGCTGCTTGTGCCAGCAAAGCCCACACATTAGTGGCTTTTTTTTTCTTCTTCCTTTGAGTGCTGATGCCCACCTATAAGCGATTTACTGTGACCAGCCTGCGTGATCGTCAGAGCATGGCCTGAATATTGATGTGGAGGCTGAAATCATAAAGCCCCAGCACACTGGACTGAACTGCTGTAAAGCCTCAACTAGGCGAGAAGCTACTCCAACATAAAATTCTGCTGTATTAAACCTAAATTCCCATGAAATGGAAGAAAAAAAATCATTTTCTTTTTGGTGCTTTGTTTTTGCGAGTGTTGCTCTTCTTTCTGTTTTCCTTCAGCACATGCTAAGTATTTTTCAAAAACAATGTTTTTATTCCTTCCAACCAGTGGTGGGCACTAGCCCGCTAAAGTGCAAATCCGCTAATTGCGGACCTAAATATTTCATTTGTGCTTTAGCGGTCTTACTAATTTTTATAATTCATAAGCAGATTTGTGCTTTCTATAATTAAAATGCAGTACCGCTAAAAACTAATTATCTACCAGTCATTATATCTTGAACAGCGGTACTGTAGGTATGGCTGTCAATTAATCACAACACACTTAATCTATCCAACAGCACCCCTCCCAGATAAACACACTTATTGGAAAGTATACATCCTTACTGACTGTTGCATTTGGTCACGATCCTGATTTCCCACAATGCTTTGTGTCTGCTTACTTAGCAGGAAGGCAATAGCAAAAACAGTTAACGTTTGTAATCCATACTAAAATTTTGTATGTATTGATTTATTTTACTTTACAGTCGGAGCTCATTTTTAAAAAAATATAAATTTTAAATGCTGGAGCTCAATACTTGATGTAATTGGTCGAAGCAACGGGGTTAGAGACTCAGAAAGGATTTAAGGATGTTATGCTGATGAAGACTGACATCTAGTGGTCAGCTGGGGCAACTACATGGAAAACTTTAAAATCCAAGCTCTTATTTTGAAGGGAAGATAGTTTCCTGTTCTCCGTGCTTTTGTTTCCCGTCACAAATGAAATCCGTCATGTACCCAGGATGCATCGCTTCAGTTTTCCAATAAACAGTTTTAAAATTACTTTATTGATGCTTCTTTAATGAAAAATCTACAACAAACAAAAGAAAAAGACAAAGAAGCAGCCGAACTAGCAATCCTCAACAACTTTTTAATTTTTACACCAGGAGCTAAAGGTCTGTTTCAAGAAATCACTTCCCCAGCAATCGGCGGTTTTAGAATTAAGTTGTAAAAGAGTTCATACACCGCTAGTTGGCAGTGTTGTGCATATGTTGTACATGAATTGATGCCAGCTAGTAAGTGTCAAATTGAACTTGCGCTTTAAAATTACCTACTGCTAGTTTTTCTATGGCATGAGTGCTTTTGAAGTTGCGGACCTAAATAATTTCATAAGCGCTTTACAAATTACGGAGCAAATTTTGGAGTAGTGCAGCCCACCACTGCCTCTACCTAATTGTAACATCTTTGACATTTTCTTATGTTAAAACAAATTTTGTGTCTTGTTTTTTTTTTTGGGACTTGCAATACTTTTTGCTGGTTTTAAACCTTTAAACCTGTGAGATGTGTAGGAAAGGATCAAACTCCAAAAGCRCTCAGTAGTCCAAGGCTCATTGCAGTGGATGGGTGGTGCTGTATTGGCTTTTCGACTTCCCCTGCCACAGTGACTTGGTAACGTGTGAGCACGTACAGACATTTATTAATTTATTACACGCCACGACCTTCATGGGAGAGTGGGCTGTACCGTTGGGGGTGCAGCGTGCCCCCATTGGATAATGCTGGGGAAAAACACTGCCAGTCAAGAAAAAAAAATCATCAAACTGAATCGGGTCAAACTGAAACTAATTTATGCAAATTGAACATTGTGTTTGTATATGTGCATTATTTTCAACAAAACATGTCTTCAATCAAGCATCAACTGCATGCGTCCTGAGCCTGTGTCTGTGTGTGCATGTGTGTTCTCCTGTAGGTCCGGGCGGCCCGTTAGTTTCATGGTGGTCTTCAACACTCCCAACCCCCTTAGTAAGATTTCCTGGGTCAACCGTCTGCACTTGGCGAAGATTGCACTGCGTAAGCACACACACGGCACGCACGCAGTCGCTCACACACAAAGAGGATTACAGTGTCATTTAGAAAAAAAACAGGGTGATGCAACGCAGTGAAACACAATAACAATGTTTCCAGTCAGGGGCTCAGATCATCATCAGAGTTGGTTTCACACACTGTTGGTGCACAGCTTGTGTTTTTGTATGTAATCATAGAAAAAAAAATGAGGATCTCGGCTAGGTCACTGAAAGATTATAGCCTGAGGAAATATATCCTATATAGGCTCTCACTGGTACACCTGGTACACCTATTCAATTGCTTGTTAACACATAGTTAATCAGCCAATCACACGGCAGCAACTCAATGTCTTAAGGCTTGTAGATGCAATGAAGACAACTTCCTGTAGTTCAAATCAAGCATCAGGAGAGGACATGAGGGTTTAAGTGACTTTGAATGTGGCATGGCTGTTGGTGCCAGACAGACTTGAGTATTTCAGAAACTGCTGATCTACTGAGATTTTAACATCTTTAATGCAGCTATCTTTAAGTAAGTAAAGTTTTATTTATAAAGCTCCTTTCACAGAGAAATATTCACAAGGTGCTGTACAATCATTAACAATGTAAAAATGGTGGAAAAATAAAAAGAAACAGAATAAAACATAATTAAACATAAACAATGTAATGAAACATTAAATCAAGATTAAATTCTAAAATTGTAACTCAGACACATGGTCAATGCAGAGCAAAATATACAAAGTTACACAAAACCAAGAGAATGGAGGAGAGGAACATCTGTCGTATGTTCAATAATTGGAAAAACAKATAGTTGGCAAACTATGGAGGTAGGCTGGCATTAATGGTGAATGGTTAGCTAAACGCTTGCGTAAAAAAGTGGGTTTTTAGGTGTTTCTTGAAAGAGACAATGTTATCAAGGGAGCACAGATTAACAGGGAGTTCATTCAGTGAATGGCATTTGTGTGTAGAAAAAAGCCTGATTAATGTTAGAGGTGAAAAAAGCAAAACAAAGCAATTGTTACAAATAAAAGTACACAGAAAATAATTTCAGAATATTAAAATACACTTTTAGGCCATTCTGAAGGCAAAGGTCATTGGGCCTCATGCAAGAACATGTTCGTATTCTTATCCTAAATTTCTCTTACTTTTGTTCGTACAAAGGGTTCGTACGAACATGTCACGTCAGATTCACCAAACTCTTCTATCTTCAGGAAAAGTGCGTAAATGAGCTGCGTAAATTCCACCTGTTCTATCCAGCTGCTCGTGCACGCGAGAGGAGATTAGCATAATTACCACCCCAAAAACACCATATAAGGCTGTGTTTCCTGCCTCAGATAAAAGGAAGTGTCCATTCATGAAAATGACAGCGAAAATTATAAAAAAGGAGAAGTTTACGAGTTCAGAGATTGAAGTCCGTCTGTCAGAGATCCAGAAAAGAAAATCTGTCATTTTTATCAGGTCAGCTGTGGGATAAAAAAGAGCTGCTAAAAGTATAAACAACTGTGTTAAATCATTTTCATTTATTCAGAAGCTGCAGCGCTGCGCACCGTACCCCCCCGCGCTGCGGTGGTCTCAGATGCGGGTTTGAAATAAGCATTTTAAAATGTTTTCAAAATAAGTCTGGCACTTTGAAGAAAACCGAGGACTCACTGGAGGGATTATGTATCCCCTCTGGTCTGGGAACGTCTCGGAGTCCCCCAGGACGAGCTGGAAAGTGTCTCTGCGGAGCGCGCGGGGTCTTTCTCCTGCTGCCCCCCCGCACCCGATAGCGGGTAAGCCGGCCGGACGGACAATTTATATTGTTAGTCTAAATTATTACATTTAAAATAATAACTCTAATTCAAGCAGAATAACTTATTGTCAACATAATTATGGAGTGTGATTTATTTTCAACTCAAAATATCTTCAAACTAACAAAATATAAAGTTATTAGTGAAGAAAACCTGTCTGGATAACAGCAGACTGACTTCTCGTAAAATGTACGACAGGTCTGGACCACTCGTGAATTTTGTTCGTATCTGAAAAAAATCGTAGAATACGAAAACATTGGTGAATGCCACAAATTCTCCTAAATCACTCGTACGCACAATTTAAGAACAAATCTGTGCYTARGAACGGTTCTTGCATGAGGCCCATTGTTTCTATGGGAGGACTATTAAGATTTAGTGTTCATCAAACGTTAAAAAAAATAAAAACATTCCCTCAGCTGGTATTTCAAAAGCTTTTATTCCTTTCCAAATTCTGGAAGTTTCATTATGATCAACCTTCAGCACTGACAAAACAACAGTAACAAATAAATGCCCAGATCTGACCCCACAGAGAGCAGAGGAGTTCTTTTTATTTTTTTAACCGCCTAACCTTTGTCCTCTAACCCTCGTCTCTCTGAACCCAGTCTGACCATCAGAGCAGAAGGTCTTCTCCTCTCTATGGTTCATCAGAGCTTCATTAGTCTGGGTTCTGATCTGATAGCAAACACAAGGCTACATTTTTCGTTTATTTTTATTTTTTATTTTTTGTCATGTTGGCATGAACGTTTAACCCACTCAGCCCCTCTGTTCCCTCTTCCCATTCGTGTCTGGTTCTGGTGTAGCCCTGTACACCCTTTTCCTCGTCGCCTCTTCTTTGCTTTGTGTTTGCTGCGTGTGCTGTTTTTCTTTCAATCCTTTCCTGCAACGCTGAATGCTCCGGTGCAGCCAAGACCGAACTGAACACGGAGCGGGCTTCTCTGTGCGGCTTCGCTTTTATAGCTTTTTTCGTCCCTGCAAAGCAGCGGGACAGAAACATTCAAGGTGTTTGATGAAGTCAATTAGGCCGGTTTGAACGAACAGTTCATCAAACGTTATGCAAAGATGACCGAATTGAGCTTTGAACTATTCTTTATGATTTAACACCCAAGTGATCTCCGAGATCATCTGTAGGGTTGTTGATTAAACCGTGTACAGTAAATGGATCTAGCCTTGAATCTGAAAAATGAAGCACACATAGAAGTTTTCAGCACCTTCATTCTATTTTTTTAATGTTCAGCAGACGGTGTTGAGAAAGAATTGGCATCTACTAGAACAATGGTGTCCAATCCTGTTCTCTGACATTCACTATCAGAGGGTTTTAGTTGTTTCTCTGCTCCAACGCACTTGACTCAACCGTTGAATTACTTTTTCAGTATATCCTCAAGTTGTGCAGAAGTCTGATGAGCATCCATTTACTTTATTTATATTAAGTGTGTGGAAACAGATAGACACCTAAAACATGCCGGATTTTATGGGATAAATATTGTGCCAGCAGGAATTGAATTTGAATTGCTCAGATTGAATCTGAATGTGCAMAATTTGAAATTGAATGCACTGGTTTGAAAATAAATTTCATTAAATTGAAACTGAATTTAAAGTTTTCAATTTGTATTAATTTGCTTTGAAACTGTATTTTGATTTATTAAAAATTCAGTCTGACTACTTTCACTTTCAGTTCCATAAATGAGTTTCAGTTCCAAAATTCAAATTTTTGAGTCACACATCCAGCCAGAGTAATCAAACACAGATCCACAGATTTACGTTTCACTTTTGTGAAGTTTCCCTTCTGTGTGTAACAGAGTTGATGCAATCCACCGTAAAAGTGACAAAAACAGACAAAGCTATTTTATTACAATGATTAATTTTACCTATATGTAGAAAATGTTACATTTACATCCCGTCATGGATCATAGCAGCATCTGATCAATATGTGATCCATGATGTGATGTAAATGTATCATTTTCTACATAAAGGTATGTATGCGCATAATTTCAAATTATGCACATAGATTCAATCTGAGCAATTCAAATTTAATTCCTACTGGCACAAGGTTTATCCCGTAGGATAGTGGCTCTTGAGGTCCAAGACTGGACACTACTGTTCTAGACTATGTCTTTACTTCTCGCTTCGTTTGTGACCAAAGTAATTTTTTTTCTTTATACTTTATGGTTTCAGTTTCATTCATGTCCTATTTATTTAAAGGGGACATATTATGCAAAATCCACTATTTTAGCTGTTAAAGGCATTTTTGGAGTGCTTTTCTGCACTCTAGAAGGCAGAAAAGTTGAACTTAGTCTCTCCTGGTGCTGCAAAGATATCTTTATATTCTGTTTGGGTCAGATTTTTCAGCCCGTTCAGTTTTCTCTGTTTTCACTGATGTTTTATGAGTCTTTTACATCGAATTACCTGCGATGAAATTGCCAAATATGGTCAATTACCTCCTCTTAATTCTCCTCTGGTTCTGGGTCAGACTCTGGCTCCAACATGTAAAGCTYGATGAACAAGTCTTCTGTTGTTGACATATTTTAATTACATTTTAAATACAACATTTCTGCATGCTACAAAATGCTAAACCCCTCTCTCAAACTGGAGTGGACCGGTCTGGGAGCCGGAGGGGGCGGGGCTTGAAGCATCTTAAAGGAATAGTGACAAAACAAACTGCTTTGAGACACACATCAGAAATGTGGTGAAAGAGGGGCTGCTGAAGTTATAATAAGGAGGAATTCAGACCAAAGCATTGTAGTTCTACTTTATATAGACCCCAGAATAGTATGAATATGAAAAGGAAGGATTTAAAAGCATGATATGTCTACAGTTGTGTTTTTAAAAGTCTGATCCCAATAGGAGTAAATAAAATGATAAAGCAAGGGCATGCTTTAAATGAGCTTGTGTGTATTTTGCAGTTCTCAGTCAGATCCATTCACTTGAAACAACTTTTCTCAAAAAGCAGTGCGGCTGACAAGAGCTGCAGTTTTACTGTTTTGCTAACCAGGCTGGAAGGTCAAGAGCAAAGCATGAAATATTTTGTTTTACAGAAGTTTTCTTGAAGTTTCTTAGTGTTTCCACAGTATACGAGTTTCTCACGTAATAAAGAACAAAAAAAAGAGTAACTCTCAAACTATTTTTTTTATTGCACTGCTGACTACTTTCCACAGTTGGGGTATAGAGGTGCTTGTGATGCATCTGTAGACTCTCCAGCAGTGCTTTCTGTGTAAGGCACGAG